TGATTCACCTGGAAATCATTTCAGATGGACGTTGCTCAGTTTTTATTGAAGACTGCTGGCTTAGCTTATTTCAAAAGGAGAACTCAGATTACTTATGCTAGGCTGTATAGAAGAAATGCAGCATGTGTGGAAATGTCAGGCAGCAGCTGCATCAGTCCCCTTTTTTATCCTAATTTTCCTTTTTTATTTTCATGTTTTGATCCACAGAACCTGAATGCCACAAAAACGTGCCTATGATTTTGCAACACACGGACGTAATTTGTGAGTTTGTCCCAAAATGAAGTAAATATGAGGAGCTGAAAATTAAAACGTTAAAAATACGATTTAGGACACTGCAGGGTGAGAGGATCGAAGAGGAGTTTGTTTTACGAGTGAATGAGTCGATCAACACATGGAGCTCGGACGACACTGGGAGGCGTGTGTGTGTGTGTGTGTGTGTGTGTGTGGTGTACACAACAGCAGAGCAGGTGCCAACAGTTTGTTGTGAAAGCACACTTGATCCTCGCTCTGGTTGTGTTTAGGCCTCCTCTCACTCGCTCATCTCAACCACACGTTCACTGTCAGGGTAATGGCTCTGCCTGCAGGCGCTAATGAGGGGAACGCAAGTGTTAAAAACCGTCGTGTTGTCCTGTAAGCACGGAGGCTCAGCCTGGTTCGTCTGTGATTGGTCGTGTGCGTAACCGAGGCAGTTCAGGTTAGTCGGGCCGCCTGAGGCGAGGGCAGGAGGATGGAGCGCTTTCCTCTCTCCTCACTGAGTGGCAGTAATCTGTACATCTGTTGTGTCAGGTTGTGTTTGTGAGAATGCACGTAAAGTCCAGAAAACATACTTGGAGACAATACATTCACTTTGTGATACAGTAATGGCTAAAAGGGATTTCTCATAGTTTTTTTTTTTTTTACGTCTCTGTTGTGCCAAGCTAATTAAATTAAAACTCAGGGGAGACTATTTTAAGTTTTAAGTTTCTATTTTAAGGCAATGAATGATAATTGCAATTAAAAGGGGAGAAAGCCTTTGATGGCTTTAATTTAACTGTAATGATCATTTTACCAAAGTAACGTTTTTTATATGTAACACAGTTTGTGCTTAAAAATGTTAGTTGAAACCAACAAAAAGACACAAAATAAAACATAGAAATGAGCTTTTTAATGGTTGATTTTTATAAGTCCATACATAATCTCAATGTTTTAAATGAAGAAACATAAATCTAGTACAGCATATAATTCATTTAAACAGTAATAAACCATGAATTTTATTTAATCATACAACTGCACATTAAGTAATTTAAACAAATAGTTTTCACTTTAGTCCAAATGTACTGGAAAAACTTACAAAAATAATAAATTAGTTTGAATCTTAACATCATTATCATCAGTGTTGAACTTGTCCAAATGACAGCAGGGAGGCACTAAAATAGTTGTTATTATATATACAGGTGCTGGTCATAAAATTAGAATATCATGAAAAAGTAGATTTATTTCAGTAATTCCATTTAAAAAGTGAAACTTGTATATTATATTCATACATTACATACAA